GCATAGTGCCTAAGGCTCTTGACTGCTAACCAGAAGGCTGGAGGTTCAAACCCACCAGCCACTCCTCAGAAGGAAGGTTGGGCAATCTACTTCCATACTGAAACTGCCTTGGAAATGCAAGGAGGCGTCACTATGAGTTAGGTCCGACTCAATGGCACATAACAACAACAACATATTCCATGGAATATAATTTTTAAAAACACTATTTGATGTTTTAAATTATCTTAGAGTATTGCTTTCTAAAATAACTTTGTTTCTAATTTTCCCTCCAAAGAATGAAACACCACCAACTGCATTTCCTTTAAGGAGCTCTGGTGGCATAATGTTAAAGCATTTGGCTACTAACCAAAAGGTTGGCAGTTTGAACCCACCAGCTGCCCTGTGGGAAAAAAATGAGGCAGCCTGCTTTCATTAAGATTGACAGCCTTGGAAACACTATGGGGCAGTTCTACCCGCTAGGAGTTGCAATCAAATCAATGGCAGGGGGTTTGGTTTTTTGCTTTTCATAGTCTTTAGTTTTTATCTTGATATACCTACATCTCCCTCTTGTGGTTGAAGTCAACTGCATAAACAATTTCTTCTTCTCCATCTTTGACTATTTTCCATATGGTTCCACCTATCATATGACCAGCTGGCAGAGGTGTGATAGACAAGCCATGTCCTTTGCCTATGTCAACAAGATAATGACAATACTCAGATTTCTTTTGCAACCTTCAATAACGATTACTTACTTATAAGGTAATATATGCATATGGCATATACTTACTTATAACAGATAATATATGCAACAACACAAAAGTAAAAAGATGTAACCAAGTCTCCCTCACCTGTCCCCCAGCTTCTCCATTCCCTCACTAGAGGCAAACACTGTTGCCATTCTATTATATATTCTTGCAGAGATATTTGTGCACACAGATAGGATAGAGACTGGATTTAAAAACCAGTGTATTCCTAAATTAATATAAAGCTAGTAACAGTCAGTATTTCTATTGCACATATAGTTACCAAGTGTTTCCATATATGCTACTCTCTAAACTGACAGAACAATAATTCAAATTCCATATGGTACATAACTTATCTACAGAAAACTGAAGTACAAGCAACATGGTTGAGACCATTGTTACCTCCTAGTTAAAACTTCAGAAGTCCACTGGTGGACCATTTTATCAATGCCAGGGTCTGTATTTCTGAAAATCTCTAACATAATCCTCTCTTTAGATGATAAATATATGTATTTAATATAGGACCCAATCAAAACAAAAATGTTTTAATGTCCAATGCGAGAAATCATTCTCCATTCTGTGTTACAACTGCCCTTCATTACTGCAATCCCTACATCCATCTCCAAACTAAACATCCACCTGTCTACACTACTGGGTCTCCCTGACCTAAGTGTGAGCTCCTAAAAGGAGGATCCAGCCACACAGGTTAATGTGTGTACTACCCAGAGTAAACACTAAAGAAATCTTCTCAAGTTACATGAGAAAAGGCATTAGTTGTTGTGGTAGTTATGTTTGTGTGTTAACTTGGCTGGGCCTGGTTGAGTGGCTGGGCAGCTGGTGGTAGTTATTCCCCATGATGAGACTGGCAATCAACTCCACGGTGGGATCTACCACAAGCAGCTGAGTAGCTGCCTTTGGGATGTGATCCACTTCCTGTATCTAAGGAGAAGCCTTGGGAATGATCTCTAGCCTGTGGCACACTTGGACCCTACACATAGCAGTGTCATTGCTCAGCAGCCTGCTATGCTCTGCCGACCTTGGGACTTACAATGGACTTAAGTTAATGTCCTGCTGTGTGGTTTGGTAACATCGGGTCAGTGCCTTTTTACTTGTCAACCTTGGGCTTGTCAGCCTCAGTAGCCAACAGCTGTCTGAGTGAAGAAACGCCTCCAGCTCCAGTGGGCCGGAAGCAGGAGGCAGAACTGGACCCCAAGTGTGAGGGGCTTTCACCCAGCCCCTAGAGCCTGGCACTTTGAACTTGGACTTAAAGCCTCCAAATTGTAAGAATAAACCCCTGTTTGTTAAGGGCATCCCATTTGTGGTATATTCCTGTCAGAGCAGTACTAGGTAACCAGAACAGTTGTTAATAATTTCTTAGCATTTAATCTGGAATATTTTAAAATTCAGATGATTTTGGAAGCTCAGAGTTCTATGTTAAGGCAAAAATGGCTAATTTTTATTCTTCAGACCATAGTGCCTATAATTTTCAATAGAACTTCTCCTCACTAGTTTTCAGTAATTAAACCCCACAAGTCCAATTATTCAGTATTGGAAACACCCTTTACCTTTCAAATTCACAATCTGAGAGAATTTTAGCTGTTGTATTTTATCAAAGGCTGCATCAACATCATCTAATGTGAAGAGTGTGAAATCTTCTGTATTATGTCGAGACTAAAAGAGTAACATAAAGAAAAGATTAAAAATGATCACTGTAGGAGTGTTAAGACTGACAAAGATAAATCTTGTAAATTACCTGATAAAGATCATACATGAACATCTGCCCCATTTTATAAACAGGAATGGTTGCGTAGATAGCACAATTCAGACCCAACTTCCCAACAGCGTAAGGGAGTGCACCAAGGTGGAGAGGATCGGGGTGAGACAGCAGTACAGCATCGATCTGGTGAACATGCCTAGGACACAAATTGACCGCTCGCTTGAATCTTGTTTTCAGTGGCAAAGACAGGATATTCAAAATCGATTTGCCAAAATTCCAATTCCCCTTAATAGTGTAGATTAAAGAATACGCTGGAGTAAAAAAAAAACAAAACTAAGAGCTAAAACTATGATAGCTGTAAATTTCAATTACTACTACTCTTGTCCTGCAAATGTATCAAAATTACAGCTATTAAACTGCATCTAGACCCATGGTGGGGAGGATGGGACAATAAACACCACAAGTAAGCTGACTCTGAGTGATTATCTTGCATACTATTAACCTCAATAACTCAGCTTGGAATTCCAGAAATTATTATGGAGAATATGCTTAATCTGTCACTTGTTTATTATGTATTTTTGCCTCAGTGTTTTAGGACGGTGATTGACAACATATTCATTATAATAAAAAAAACTTTAACTAGAGAAGCATGAGTTCTTATTGGTAAAAGAAGTTAATCAGAGAATATTTTTGCTTCAAGTTCTAAGTTGTTTAAAGGGTTAAGTACTCTTTCCTTCCATAATTAACACAATGCTACAAACATGACTGAAGTTCCTTTAGTGGGATCCTTCTGTGTCTCACAGCCTTTATTTGAGGACCAATTCTCAATGTCTGTCACCAAATGATACAGAAAGTAGACTAAATGTCAGATATCTGATTACAGAACTTTCACATGTTAGGCTTTTCCTCTTGATGCTTACTCTTTGCTAAAGGTAGGGTGCAAAAATTTCTGAGCGATCTATTAACCAAGTAACAATTAAGATTTTGCTGAATTTTATAAATACAGCTTATAAGTCAATCAAAGCATTACAAGTTAAACAGTGACTAAAGCAAAAAGCAAACAGTGTATAACATCAAAAAAGTCGATTTAAAAGCCTAGAAATATGAAAAATAACTTACTTCCTCAGGGAATCTATGATATCCATAGAAAAGTGCTCATCCCAGCCACAGTCCAGTAAAAATCTAAACTCATCAACTTGGAGAAGATAGCATAGAGCAGACTCTTCTTGGACTCCAGAGAGGGTCGTTAACTTGATAATAGATGTCATTTTTTTTGGTCCAATAACAGCAGTCTAAATGGGTCTTCTAAAAGAAAAACACAAACATAAGAGCACAATCGAAAATATAAAATTGACAAATTAAAATTATATCAAATTTTTAAATGTACAGAGTTTAAAAACCTCTTATTTAAATATACTTCAATCACGCCCCAGTTTGGTTTAGTGAAAAACAGGTGGACTATGGAATCAGATAGACTCAAATTTGAATCCACTGCTATGTAATTTTCAACAATTAAACCTTTCCTCAGCTACTATTCCAGTCTATAAGATGTGAATATTAATATACATGTAAAAGGAATGTCAGATTTAAAGTAATGTGTCAATCACCTGGAATGGAGACAAGTTCATCCAAGTTCCACTAATACATAAATGTTTGCTGAATTAATGAATTCATCTTTCAAGATTATTTTTCTACTTCTTTATTTTGCTTTAATTTTTTTTTTTGTAGTTGCAATACAATGATTAGTTTAATGTATCTCTCCTATTAGATTCCCTTGAGGATCTAATAAAAAGCTATGCATGGTTCCTCATGCCCCTAACACTCAAAAGAACAAAAAAACAAAAACCACATATATGTATAGACATGTACATACTTTTCAGGGAGTTTAATGTTAAGAACTGTTACACCAGATTGTGTGCAACCAAAAGACAAAGGTAACATCTTATATCTGCAGCGCCAAAAAAAGACCTGATACACAGCTGGCACTCAATGACTATTTGATGGATGAATGGTTAGAATGCCTAGGATGCATATTTCAAGAAGGTGAACACCACTGGAACTCAGGACCTAAAAATGCTATTAAATAGATGTTATGAAAATATGCGTCACCAAAGTACAACTCCATAGCAACATGTTGGATTTTAGCTCCTTAAAAGAAGTTAGCCTTTTCTGGCAACGTCAATATTTAAAAATCATATATATGCAGATAGGAGAGAAAGCCATTCTTCCGTTGTGCTGCTGGGTGGGTTAACCACCAATAGAGGTTAGCAGTCAACAGCAAACCGTTTGCATCACCCAGTGATCTCAATCACCCTAAAGTCCTGTCTAATCTCAGTTACATTCTACATCATTCTGTCTCCCTTCCAAGACTGTAAATCTTTACAGGCGATTGCCTATCATCCTCCCGCGGAACGGCTGGTGGGTTTGCGTAGCCAACCTTCTGGTCAGCGGCCAAAGGCCTTACCCACTATGCCAACAGAGCTCCTTAACAGGATCAAAGAGACTGTCAAATAAAATTTAGGAGCAAATGGTTAACTCAAGTTTGGCTGCTCACAAGAGGCCGGACTTGCTAGCATTGTATCTAATCTGACCTCCTGTTTTCTAAGTTGTTAAAAATCGTACAAAGTCAAGGAGAATGAGGTCTTTAAGAACCGCAGTGATAGGACTGGGAGCGTTCGGGGCGATGGTGGCAGAGCGTGGAAAGCAGAAGCAACTTTAAGAAAGCGTGATACCATCGTAAAAATCCCGGGAGGCAGTTAACTAAAAGGACGCCTACTTTGTGCCCAGTGCTTAGAAGACTCGCTCATCCCGGCACGATGGGGAAGACCCTAAGCAAGGAGGCAGAAAATACTGTAGCCACGAGGCGAATGAGCTTAAAGGTGGCGCCGGATTAACTCCTCCAGAGCTTAGAGACAGCACAGAGAAATCGCAAGGAGGAAGACCTGGGAGTGAACGGCAGAGACTGCCACAAAACAGCCAGAAGTTATAGGCCCGTGGAGAAGTCACTGTCTTTCCCTTGCTGGGCACTTCTGCCAGGAACGACCAGGACTAGCTCCACCGAAACGCCGGGAGCACGTCCCCAAGGAAGGGCTAAGTCGAAGTTGGAGGCAAGCTCTCTCCCGGAGGGCCGAGGATGCCCCCTCCCCCATCCAAAGGCTCACTCCTTTCTTCCGCCCTCACTTGCCTCGTCAGTCCTCCCCCAACGCCGTCCACTGCCCTTCCCAACCCCTAGTCGAATCCAAGTTCAAGAGCGAAAAAAACTTGCGCTCGCTCAGAAGCACCCGTAAGGATCGGCCAGCAGAAACCCCTCAATGGCGGCCGCCATTTTGAAACTGGAGGCACTCAGCTGAGGCGGGGAAGACCCAGGATTATACCATCTTCGGGGGCAGAGAACGAAACGCTAGCGAAGAAAAGGCTCTTACACCAACAAGTCTCTTCACCTAGGACCGCAATTCTATTCAAAAATAAGTATAATATTTTAAAGCTAAAATAAATATGAGAAGAGTCAAGTATGAAAAGGTAGAAGAGGTATGACTTTCAGGAGTCACCCCTCTCGTCTGTGCGGGCGCGGCGAATGGCAGACCCCGAGGCCTCAGCTTCCGCCGGCGCCGGTGGCTGAGCTCGAGGCTGCCCTTGGTTGCGGGGTCGTTGTTGGCCCCCGGGTTGTTGGCACCCGGGCTGCAGGTGGGTGCGGACTAGATCACGGTTGTGCAGACGGGGAGGGGTCTCCTTTATGAAAGCCTTCGACAGCGATGGTGGTGGTAATGGGATGGCTGGGTCTCCCCGAGGCATGAGTGGCCGGGCTTTCGAGCGACGGAGACAGGGGAAAAGAGAAATAGGGGTTTTTTTCTGGTGGACACTAGCGTTCCCTCTCCCGCCTGGCAGCCTTTTGAAATGGGAACTCTGGGACTGTCGTAACTGTCATAAAGCCTGGAAACATCTTCAGCGAACACCGGTGACCTCCCTCTAGCCCGCTAAAGGAGGAGCCGGCCAGGATCCCCTACCGAGACGGAAGCATGGATGGGGCTGCCTCTGCGACCGTTTCAGATTCGGCCAAGTTTCAGCCTTCTTAACTTCACCCCCCTTCACGAAATAGGCACTTACCTTTGGCTGTTTAAAAACTCAGTGTTTAATTTGCGCTTGGTTTCTAGGGTGTGTGTGTCATTAAGATAGTGTTCCGTGCCTCGAGTTAGGTAGGATCTTTGGGGTTAAATTGGCACTATTTGAATACTGTATATTGAGGGCTGTGGCGACCAGTTGTTGTTATGTGCCATGACGTCGGACCTGACTCAGCGACCCCTCCTTCGGGTTCCAAGGCGGTATCACTACGGAAGTAGATTGCCCAACTTTCCTTCCCAGGAGTGGCTGTTGGGTTTGAACCACCAGCCTTCTCGTTAGCACTCACGTGCCTTAGGTACTACCCTTCCAATTAGTAATTATTTTTAAAAAATACTCATCTACATTTCTCTAATGTAGACCATGAGATGTTTATTGTTAAAAAACAATTGGGTTTCAAAGGCAGTAAATCTTTATAGAAGTAGATTGCCCCGTCTTCCTTCCATGGAGTGGCTGGTGGGTTTGAACAGCCAACCTTCTGGTTAGCAGTCAAATGCCTTAGGCACTACCCACCAGAGCTCCTTATCTGTGACCCTGTTGTTGTTGTTGTTGTTATGTGCCGTGGAGTCGGCCTGACTCATAGACCCCTCCTTGGGTTTCCGAGGCAGTATCACTACAGAAGTAGGATTGCCCAACCTTCCTTCCGAGGAGTGGCTGGTGGGTTTGAACCGCCAGCCTTCTGGTTAGCAGTCAAGTGCCTTAGGCACTATGCTACCAGAGCTCCTATCTGTGACCCTAGACCCCTTAATTTATAATTTTCCTGTGTTTCCTCATCTGAAAAAAACGTATAGGGAACACTAGGGACATTATATGAGTTGATACATGTATAATGGTGGTGTGAGGGTTGTGATGATGCGTATAAAAACACAGCTATGCCTGACACGGTGCTATTAAGAGTCACCTCTTCAGAGAGGTGGGGGATAAAAATGGGAACATTTTGATATGAAAGGACATATTATCAGTTACATAGTTCCTAGTGTCTGTAAGATAAAGAACTAATTTTTTTTTAACTTACTGTGATTTGGGTGAAATTTTACAAAGCTCATTTGTTTTACATTCAACAGTACATATACATTTTGTTTTATGACACTGGTTCTGTTCCTCGCAGCCTAACGGCTCACTTCCCACTTCCTCCCTGTGGTTACTCTTTCCCTGTGTTCTTGCCTACACTTTCCTGTCTCCCTACCTTTCTCCCTGTGCAAGTGCTGCCCTCCTGATCTCCCATGGTTGATTGTTCTAAGGAGCGCACCTTCCAGGTATAGGTGTTCAGCTCATAGGCCTGGCTATCATTTGGGTGATTATTATTATTATCCTAATAAGGCACAGGAGTGACTTCAATTCCAGGCCTGAATGATGACTTGGGCCACAGTCTTGGAGGTTTCATCAGTCTGTCAGACCAGTTGTTGTTGTTATGTGCCGTCGAGTCGGCCCCGACTCATAGCGACCCCTCCTTGGGTTTCCGAGGCAGTAACACTACGGAAGTAGGATTGCCCAACCTTCCTTCCGAGGAGTATCAGACCAGTAAGCCTGGTCTTTTTTAATGTTTTTTTGTTTTTGTTTTTTTAATTTTGTTCCATATTTTTCTGTCACTCTATCCAGGATGTCCAAGTTTGATCCCTTTTGGAGTGGTTGGCAGTGGTAGCTGGGCACCATCTAATTCTGGTCTAAGGGTTGTATAGGCGGAGTTTCACATGATCCATTCATTAGTCCTTTGGACTAATTATCTCCATGCGTCTGATTTTCTTCACTCTTCTTTGCTCCAGACGAGGAAAGACTGATAGTTGCCTCTTAGATGGCCACTCTCAAGCTTTTGAGACCTCAGTCACTACTCACCAAAGTAAAATGAAGAACGATATTTTTGTATACCATGTTGTACAACAGCAACGTAATGGGAGCTCTGGTAGTGTAGTGCCGAGGGCACTTGACTGTGAACCAGAAGGCTGCAGGTTGAAAACCACCAGCCAGTCCTCGGAAGGAAGGTTGGGCAATCCTACTTCCGTAGTGTTACTGCCTCGGAAACCCAAGGAGGGGTCGCTATGAGTCAGGGTCGACTCGATGGCAAATAACAACAACACAACAACATGTTGTACAGCTTGAGCTTGATGTCCCCCGTCACCATGGTCCCCAGCCTGCAGGCCCAGCGACCTAAGAA